CGCAACTACGCGCGGCCTTCCTTGGCCAACGCCGTGCCCCGCAACCAAAAAAAAAACACAGTTCTCTATTCTCCTCCTCCCTCCCTCCATCGACCCTCACCCCTCTCCTCGTTCCTTCGCCCTCCTCCGTCCTCACCCCATGCCCCGTCCTCTATATCTACCCCTCCCCCGTCCGCCCTCAACCCCGCGCGGCACGCCTCGGCGGCGGTGCGTGCGCGCTGCGGCGGCGCAGCAGCAGCCGCCGAGCGGGGCGCGCTGCCTCTGGGCGCAGCGGGGGCGGCAGCAGCTGGCGTCGGGGCCTTCGGGGCAGAGCCCAGTCTCTCCCCCCCCCCTCTCCTCCAACCCTCCCTCATCCCTCCGTCCCTCCTCCTTAATTCCCTCCATCTCTCCCAAATCGTTCCTCTCTTTTTGTTTGCCTCTCTCTCTCTCTCTCTCCATCTCTCTCTCTCTCTCTGCCTCTCTCTCTTTCTTGCTCTCTCTCTCTCTCTCTCTCTCCCTCTCTCTCTCTCTCTCTCTCTCTCTCTCTCTCTCTCTCTCTCTCTCTCTCTCTCTCTCTCTCTCTCTCTCTCTCTCTCTCTCTCTCTCTCTCTCTCTCTCTCTCTCTCTCTCTCTCTCTCTCTCCTATATATATATATATATAAATATAAAAGTATACCTGTCTCACTTGCTCTGTCCATCCCTCTCCCCCTCCCTCCCTCTCTCCGATATTTCTTATGTGCATTATCTATTTCCTCTCTCTCCCCCTCTCTCTCTCACTCTTTCTCATTTGTTTCTCTCTCTCTCTCTCTACGAGTACGGAGGAGGAACGCGTACAGACTGCAGAAACAAGTGATGCAAGCTACTTCTAAGCTGTTACATTGAAATGCCATTGTGTTCACCAGAGTGGTGCGAGAGGACGCGCAAACAGCGCTGGAAAAACAGGCGGGGGGGAAATTCTGTACAAAACGATTGTTTTGTACGGAATTTCCCCCCTTGAGCTTTTTGCAAAGAAAACCGCTCTGTAAACATATCTCATACTCACAGCTCAGAGGGCCCTCGGATCATCCTGAAGGTGGCGTTCTTTGCAGTACCGCGTGGCGTCTTTTCACGTCAGCATAAGTGTGCACGCACAAGAAATACACATACATACATACATATCTTAACTGTCTGCGCGCCAATGTTTCATGTGGCTGCACGGTCACGCGCGCGCAGCGTGCGTCGACTGGCCCTCAATGACCCCCCCCTCCCCAGCTTCCCATCGACTGCTGAGCGCTAGGATGTCCGTCTCACGTCCGATTTCACACCTAGGCGGGAACGCTTGGCCCCGATCACCTCCGACAAGCTCGGGACGGCCCACTATCGGGCCAGGTCGGAAGCAACGCGCCGCAACAGCTTTGCATGATCACGTTCTATCTTCTGGAAACCACGTGGGCTCTGTGAGGGGAGAGCGGGGGAAGGAGATGGGGGCTGGGGGAGGGAGGGGGGGCCGCGTGAATGGAGGTCCCGTGGGGGGCACCAGAATCAACCAGGAAGGCGATTATGATGGCAATCTGAGAGGGCCCCATGGGGATTGCATAAGGTAAGGTGATGATGCGGGGAGCAGGTGCAAGGAGGGCAATCCAATGCGATGACTTTTTTTTGTTGTCAGGCTATCGCGCAGGCGTCGTGGTGCTGGCGATGCTCTACATCTGATCAGACCACATCGCACCAATCTGAGGGAGGCCGCTCGAGCTGCTAGCAGCGGCATCGGACGATGCGGGCCTGCGCGGCGAAGGGGTCGAGCGGCGCGGCGATGGATTCGACGGCATCCCGTCGGAGTTCTGCTCAGCCACCTCTAGCATGGAACACCTATCGACGGGGAGCTTGGCGATGCCTTTCTTCGGCTGGGCGGTCGAGGCGCCCCGTCCTCTGCCGCGGCCGCGGCCGCGCCCTGTGCGTGCAGGGCCTGCTCCATCGCTCGCTGCAGAGCTTGCAGCAGGGGCGGGCTCGGCTAGCGGCTTGAGCTTTGCAAGCATCTTGGCCTTGAGCTGCTCGCACTCTGACTTGTCGGTGCCCGCCGCATACTTCTTGCAAATGTCGATGAAGCCCTTCACGTGCCTGTCGTCAATGCCGCTCTTCGCTGTGAGTTGCATGGCTGCCTTGTCTCTCATTTTGGGGTCCTTGCGCTTCTCGTGATCCGAGGGGGACTGCCACAACGTGAGCCACTTGTCGTCTTTCTTAAACGTGTACTTAAGGGTGAGGGGGCAGCCGCCGCGATTGCCTTCCCAGAGCATCTCCGCGAGGGTCCTCTTCTTGGGAGCGTCACTCAGCGCTAGATTGCTGGTTCCTGGAATCAGCCACTCGAATCCATCCACGAACGATGCCACGAGGTTTGCCTGCCCCTCCACCTTCCGAGCGGTCACGTACTCTGGCGGCGGCACTGTCTTGCCCTTTCCCTTCTTGTGGCGCCTCCACGCTGCCTGTTGGGGCTACGCGCGCGAAAGGTGCACCCCTTCCCTCGCCATCGCCCCAACGCCTGAGAACATCGCTGTGCGCAGCTGGACTGCGGGCACAATTGCGATGGTCCCTGGCAGTTGCTCGAGCGATTTGAGGGTAGGAGTGCATCTTGCGCGCGCTGGCCTTCATCGTCTTGTCCCAGCCGTACTCGAACGTGCCGTCGTCGCGAAGCGGCGCGTCCGTGGTGTCGTTGGCCTTCGTCGCGGCTGCTGGCCGTTTCAGCGCTGGCTTCTTCATGGCGGGAGCAGTGTCTTCTTCGGCTTCCTCGTCTCCCCCTTCGCCCTCTTCCTGTTCCCCTGGTTCCTCGTCTGGGTCTTCTCCGCCGCCCTCCTCGTTCTGATCCTCCTCCTCTTCGCCTTCGGCGCCCTCGTCCTCTTCCTCGTCCTCTTCCAGCGCCTCTTCCTCCTCGCCTTCGGCGTCCTCCTCGGCCGCCTCTGCCTCGGCCTCGGCCTCGCCCAGGCCAGCGAGTGCGCTGCCGCCGCCCTCACCTCTGAACGCCCCCGACCACGGCGGCGCAGTCCGGCCCTCGCGAGGGCGGAGGGCGTCCTGGATGTGGCCTAGGGCAGCTCGGATCCTCTTGGATCTATCCGAGGCCCACTCCTCGGCATCCTGTGCGAGGTGCCAGCTTCCCTCGCTCTCCTCTGCAAGCGCCTGGAGCTCCCTCTTGAGCTCGAGCTGCTTGAAGTTCGGCGCGATCTCTCTGAGGTCGCTGAGGAAGGGCTGGGCCGCCTTGATGGAGTCGACTGCCCACGCCTTGCCCCTCGCCTGCGTGTGAGGGTACTTGAACGAGGACTTTGTCTTGAGGTGCTTCTTCAAAACGTCTTTCAGGCGGCCCGCGTGCTCCTCGTCTAACTCGCCAATCGGCCCCCTCTTGCGCGAAGCCATGCGACCTGCTAGCTCGATTCTGGCTTGATCCAAAATGGCTACGGACCGAAGCGTATCAAGACCGTTTGAGAGCCCTGAAATGCACTGTCGACGTTTCCAGGGGCGAGAGTTCGCGAGGGGGCTATGGGTGAGGAGGTGATCCTTGGATAAGTGCAGCGTTTTTTTTTTTTTTTTGAGGGGGGGGGGTGACGCTGCGCGGGCGAGGAGCGGTGGCCCACTGGCCCACAACCACAGGGCGCTCGGGAAGGTCTAGGCGAAGGTCCCTGGGTTTCTTAGGGGAATCTCCGAAAGGTCCATGGGGTGCTGGGGAAGGCACACGAATAGGTCCATGGGGTGCTGGGGAAGGTCCACGAATAGGTCCATGGGGTGCTGGGGAAGGTCCACGAATAGGTCCATGGGGTGCTGGGGAAGGCCCACGCAAAGGTCCATGGGGTGCTGGGGAAGGTCCACGCAAAGGTCCATGGGGTGCTGGGGAAGGTCCACGCAAAGGTCCATGGGGTCCTGGGGGAGCCCCCATCGGGTCCACGGGGTGCTGGGGGGTTCCTGGGGTCGGCAACGGGTGGAAATGTGGCCAGAGGGGCGGTGCATTACGGGTCTCGGAGGGCGTCAGAACATTCATTCTGCGCTCGTGGATTTCAAGGGCGGGCCGCGGCAGCACGCGCATTCAACTGCTGGCGGAGTCGGGGCAACGGCAGTGGATCGCGGGGAACAGAATGAGAACCACGAGAAGGGGGAGGGCGTTGAGGAGCTGGAAGCCGATGAGAAACGAGGACTCAAGACACAGCCCGCTCCCTCTCCCCCCCAGCCCCGCCTCCGCCTCCGCGGCGCGGCGGCGGCTGCCGCCAACGGCGGCGGCGGCCTGCTCGCCCTTGGCGTCGGCGGCGTCCTGTCGGGCGGGGGGCGGGGGGAGGCAGGCGGGGGGGAGGGGGGGAGGGGGCTGAGAGAGGCTTCGAGATCTCCGCGCGGCACGACGCATGCCCTCTGCACGCAATCGCACGTGCACAGTTCGCAACGCTATAGCGTGGCGAACTGTGAAGGCGCGATTGCGCACATGCTCAGCGAGGAATGGCCCGCGTGGGCCTCAACTGGTCTGCGACTTCCTGAGGTCGCGGGGGGATCGGCGCAGGCCGCACGCATCAACAAGCCTTCGGCTATATGACGGAGGAGGGGGGATGGCGAGGGGGGGGGGACGACGAGGAGGACGAATGGGAGGGCGGAGGAGGAGGATGAGGAGGAAGTGGAGGACGAGGAGGAGGGGGAGGAGGAGGTGGAGGAGAAGCGTCGGGGAGGAGCTGATGGACGAGGAATTGAGGAGGAGGTGCGGGGGGGGAGGAGGAGGAGGAGGAGGAGGAGGGGGATGAGGAGGAGGAGGAGGAGGAGGAGGAGGAGGAGGAGGAGGAGGGGGAAGGAGGACGAGGGGGTGGATGAGGATCCTCACCCTTGCCCTCATCATCGCCATCTCAAGTCCCTCTCCTCCTCCTCATCATCTGCCTCCTCCTTCTCCTCCTTCTCATCCTACCCCCCGTCCTCCTCCTCCTGCTCCTCCTCCTCCACCTGCTCCTCCTCACCCTCCCCTCTACCGCCTCCTAGCGGTCCTGCTTCTCGGCCCATTCCTCCATGATCTTGAACTTGTCCGTCACGGTCTCCTTCCAGCCCTTCTTCATGAACATGAACATCAAGGTGTCGCTCCAGTCGTCGTAGTCGGTGAACGGCGGCCCCATCATGGCCATGCGCGAGCACATGGTCGTGGCGCCGCGCCAACCTTCAGATCCTCCGCCCAGCTTCCACGCGATCCTGCCGATCGCGAGGTACTCACCCTGCTTGGTGATGTCACTCGTCAGGCTCTGCTCGCGCGAGACGGTCTTCCTGTGCTCCGATGCCTTCTCTGACGCCCACTGCGCTCGAAATGCCGCCATCGCATCTCGATTCCCCGACGAGCTGTACTTCAGCTTCTGGGCGGCATTCTTCGGGTTGTTGATCCACCTATCCCAGCGACCAGCCATGACCTTGCCGTTCGGGTCACCTTTCCTGGCCTTGGTCGGGAAGTTGAAGCCAGCCATCTCCAGGGCGTCCCACAGGGCCGACTCCTTGGACTCCTCAGCTGCCTTGAGCGTGCGGAGGTCGACGGCCTTCTGGCTCTTGAAGATGCCCGTCAGCGCAGCCGTGACCCCCTCCGCCGACCCCTCGTTGGCCTGCGGGACCAGGGACTTAATCTTCTCCTTCAGCTGCTCGAAAGTCAAGTTCTCGAAATCGCTCGGAGCTAGGTTCGGCAGCGTCTTCGGCGGCGTCTCGAACTGAGGGGCGTCGCAGCTGCCTGCAGCACGGTGGGCGGCGATCTCTGGCGGCATATCGCAGGGCCCCGCGCTCGAGGCTGAGTTCGCCGCTGGAAACTGCATTGGAGATGGCGGCGAGCTGGGCACTGGGACATGCATCTCCTCATCGGCTGGGTTCGATGGCAAGGTCAGCGGCACGGGCGACGGCGGCACTGGGGTCTCGTCCTCATCGCTGGCCTCCACATGCTCCGCCGCCGCCACCTCGACCGCCATGGGCGTCGGCGCCGCCACCTCGACCGCCGTGGGCGTCGGCGCCGCCACCTCCATCGCCGTGGGCGTCGGCGGTGGCTCGTCCGTGGGCGTCATCGGCTGCGGCCCCTGGAGCTCGGCTGCCTGCGGGCGACGCTCCTCCTCCTCCTCCTCCCCCTCCTCCTCCCCCCCCCTCCTCCTCCTCCCCCATCCTCCCAAATGAGGCGAGGAACTGAGGGGCCCCAGGGCCGCGATCCTACCCCAAGATGCGGCTGGAGCCCTCGGGCGAGGACTCGGAGCAATCCGAAGTGGGGACTGGCTCGAAAACTTGAGATCCCAACGATTACACTATAGACTATAGCCCCCCCCCCCGCCCGTGCCTGACTGGCAGCAGCTCTCATCTCCTCCTCCATGTCGCTGCGGCCACCTGGGAGGGCCATGGCCCTGCGCCGCCTGCAGCGGCGCGGGCGCGAAAATGTGCTCGAGCTATCGCGGTTGCACCAACTGCTTCGATCGTGCTGCAGTGCTGACCCCGCCGTATGCCATCCGAGAACGACTCTCTCTGGCTCCTCCTCCTCCTCCTTGTCCTCCTGGTCCTCCTCCTCCTCGTCGTCCTCCTCCTCGATTCTCCCCTTGTCCCTCCTTCTCCTCCTCCTCCTCCTTCCTCGCCCTCCTCCTCCTCCTCCTCCTCCTCCTCCTCTCCCCTCCTCCTCCTCCTCTCCTCCTCCTCCCCTCCTCCTCCTCCCCTCCTCCTCCTCCTCCCTCTCCTCTCCTTATCTTCCTACTTCTCCCCCTCCTCCTCCTCTCCTCCCTCCCTCCTCGATCCTTCCCCCCTCCCCCCCCTCCTAGTCCTTCCGCCTATCCTCCTTCTCTTCCTCCTTTTCCTCCTCCTTCTCTCCTCCTCCTCGCCCTCCTCCTCCTTCCTCGTGTTTGGGCCGCCTCTTTTTTTGTTTCATCGTTTGACCTTCTCTCCTCGATCCTACTCCTCGCTCCCTGGGCAATCGCATGGGCGCCGAGGCGGGGGGGGGGGGGGGGGGGCAGCAGACACGGGGGGGTCAGAGCGGGAGGCGCGGGGGCGGCGGGCGGGGGGGGCCGGGGGGGCGCGGGCGGGGGGCGGGGAAGAGGGGGGAGGAGAGGTTTTTGTTCTTTCTGTTTTTTATCCGAAAGCCTCGCGCGCAGATCCGAAACAACAAAAAGCACCACAAAAACAAACGCCATGCGTCGCGCGACGCCGCGGCACCGCTCGGCGGCACCTCGACGTCGGACGCCGCCACCGCGCGCAACGAGAGTCGCAACGCCGCGATATAGCAGCGCCGCGACGACGCGCGCTCTCGAAAAACCGCCACCGCAATTTTTATATATATATATATATATATATATATATCACTTACAGCTGCATTTTTTTGCAGCTTGGTGATGTAAACTGCAGCTAAGCATCCGCCGCATAAACTGCAGCTTGAGAACCTCAGGGCAGGTGCAGTCAACGCTGGATCTCGGCGCATCCGACCATGGCGCGGTGCGCCTCGAGGCTTCCAAAAAGCATGGCGAACGGCCGGCCTGGCTCCGTCGCCCGCGGCTGCTCAGCCATGCGTTCCGTTCTTCTTGGGGCGATCCTTCGGCTTGGCGTTAGTCCTCTCCTCGCGGGCCTCCTCCTTTCCGTCGTCGCCGAAACTTACTTGACCAGTTCGCTCGACGCCCACTTTTGTAAAGCTGGGCAGACCGCCGCGCTGCCCCTGACGCGGTCGAGCCCCATGTACAAAAAGGCGCCCTGCGTTCTGTCTCTGCCGCCGCCAGCGATACTGGGCATCCTGTCGCTGTACCGCTCTTCGGAGAGCTGGATGGGCCTTGACATGACCTCCGCGCCAGCGATGTCTGGCAAGTCCGGCATGTAGACAGTCGACATGCTCTCCAGCATCTGGCAGCACATCAAACTGTCCTCGACTCCACCGTCATTGGCCTGCACCTGTGGTATCGGTCTTCCACCGAGCATAACGTCCCAACTGTGCTTGGCTGGTCGCTACCATGAAACGGACCAGGGCCCCCCGGACAGGGAAGTCCACGAACTGTGGGATGCGCTGCGCACGGACGTCCCCGGTCGCGAAGGCGGCCACCTGCGCTGAGCACAGGCTTCGCCTGCAACGGCCGGGACGAACGCCCCACCAGCGCGGACAGGCGGCGGCGCCGCGGCGGCGGCTGGGGGTGCCCCCGCGGCGGCTGCCACCACGGACCGTGCCGTCCTCACCGTGCCGGGCGCTGCTGCGGCCGCCGCGGCCGGAGCGCCCCTGCCAGGGCGCCGATGCCGCCACCGAGGGCGGGCGCCGCACTTCCCGCGGGATCAGTCGGCGCGCCCGCGTCGCCAGGGGCCGCAGCTGCGTCGATCGCGTGGCCATTCATGTTCGGGGCCTTGCCGTCGGCGGGCGCTGGCCGCCCGCGTCGGCCAGCCGCCAGCGGTCGGGCAACCTGAAAGACGGCCGGCGCCGGGACGGACCTGAACCAGCAGACCGGCAGGACGGCCCCTCCATGGAAGGGCCCCTGGGGCAGACGTGCGCCGCAAGCGCCACGGTCAAGCAGGCCGAACCAGGCGATGTCCGCACCAACGATCCAATCTTCCTCGCAGTTCATCTGGGGTGAGTCCACTGACGGTGGAGCTGGTCCCCGGCTCGATGAGAGCAAGCCACTCCTGAAAAAATGGAGGACCTGGAACGTCGTGCTCCACGAAACCGGAGTCTCCAGCCTCTATCCTTAAGTCGGGCCTGTCCCCCTACAGGGGGATTTTCGACGAAAAAAACGTGGGTCTGTTAGTATAGAGAGGGTCATGAAACAAACGTTGCAACACATATTCTGCGTATCTGTGCATATGCGGTCTGGCAGATCGGGGAAGCATCATCGCGACGCCAACGGGCGTCGCGGACTCGAGAATTTGGGCCGGAAGCACGAAGCGCACGATTACCCATATCATGAAGTGCTGCAACCAGTCACTGTGCTCTGGGGGTGCGCGGACACGCAAAACACTGTTCAGCTAATCGTTAGCTGGCGCCCGCCTCGAACTCATGCCCCATCCCCCACCTTTTCCAAATATCCCTTCGCTGCGGCCCCACCCTCCTCATGCCCTTCCGATTGCCCCGGTCCTCATCATGCCCTTCATCTACACTGCCCCCCCATGTGTCAATTCACGTCGTTCCTCGTCGTCCTCCTGCGCCAGATTCGTTCCCCCATCGTCCACATGTTTGCCCTCCTCCCATCCTCTACGCCCTAACGCACATCATGCCCCCAACTTCTGCCCTCCCCCACCTCCCTCGCCCTCGTGATGCTGACGCCGATGATGCAAATCCTCCTGGGCTCTCTCCCTCCGCTCTCGTCCAGTCCCGTTCATCCTTGGCCCCTCGGCCACCCCTCCTATCGAACCCCTTCCTTCCCACAGCCCACCATCCCCACCCCCCCGCGCCTTTGCATGCCCAGACCACGGCCCCCTCCTGGACCAGCCAGGAGACCCGCGGAAACTCCCGCCCAGTGACCACTCCAGCGAGAGGCGCGCAACAAATGCACAGTTGGAGACACGAACTGTGTATTTCGACCGCGCACGACGCCGCCCCTGGACCAGCCGGAAGAGAAACGCGAAAGTTCCCGTCCATTCAACACCACCCGCGAGGGGCACACTCCAAATACACAGATGGGAACGAGATCTGTGTACACAGATCACACCACGATCTGTGTAAACAGCGGGCCCACACACGAAAATACACAGTTGAAGACACAAACTGTGTACACAGATCACACCTTGATCTGTGTATTTCGAAAAGGTGAACGCTCGCCACCTCGAGGGCGCCCCGACTTTGCCAACCCAGAACCGAGGTCGACATGCCCAGCTGGGGGGGGATGCAAATACACACTTCCCCGGCCCAGGGCGCCCCCGAGAGAGCCGCAAATACACGTTTCCCTGGCCCAGGGCGGCCGCGGTGCAACGCGGCGCCAAAGCGGCCCCCAACGGCCCGAAGACGTCCCAAAAGGCCTCGAAGGACCCCAAAAAATGCCGCGCAGCAATCCGAAAACACGAGAGATGTCACATGTCAAGGACCTCTTAACAGTCAAAGCTCCACGCGTCGCCATATAGACACCGCTCTGGCAAGGGGGGCGGACCTTGCTGCAGTCACCTATAATGTACATGTTAGCGATGCGACTGTGCTCGGCGGCGGTGCCGCCCGCATTTTGGGTGCGCCCCGAAATCTCGCATTGGCAATCCCCTCTGTTTGGTTGCGCCGCTGTGCTCGGATATCGAAAAAGAATTTACCGCTGACGCGGGCACGCGGCGCCAGGGACTTCACTTTTCGAACAAGGAGGGTGGACGAGGTAGGACGACGGATGGTGGAGCAGGGAGGCAAAGAGGAACGAGGAATAATGAGGGAGGTGGGAAGGGGCCCTCCCCCGCCCGAGCCGCGGACGCTTTCGACACCATCCGGGGGAGGGAGGAAAGGAAGGGGAACGGAGCAAGGGCGAGGGCGACGACGGGAAGCAAAAAGTCCTGGGTCCGCATATAGCCATATGTCTGCGATTCGGGTGCGCGCGCTTTCTTCGAGGCACTTCAAGCCGGACCCATACTGAATTCACGAATTCCTCAAAACTGTGTAAACACTCTGTCCTCTGTTCCCTCTCCTATACAACGGCCTCATAACAGAGGGGCAGTGGATTCCAACCCCCAACAAAATGTCAAAAAACAATCCAATAATGGTCCGGGACTAGTACTCCAGTATGTTTTACCTTCTTGGGGTATTTTGGGGGTATTTTGGGGATGTTCGACGAAACATAAACAAATTGTTTATGTTCGACGAAACATAAAACAATTTGTTTATGTTTCTTCGAACATCCCCCTGCAGGGGGGCAGGCCCGACAGAACTCGACCCCCAACGCTTGCACTGGCAGGGGGCGCAGCCGCCATCTCGGCAGCCTGCGCGCCTCTGCGGCCGGGGGCGATTATATGGAGGGGGGCGTCCGCGAGAGGGGTGCGCAGCTCGTGGCCCGAGGCGCGTGCTCGGCCCAGGGGGGGGGCCACGGGGCGCACTGACGTCAGACTCACCTGCCCCTCCGTTAGAAGAAAAAAAACTATGCACATACACCGATTCTGGCCAGGCCCATCCTGAGCCCAGGATCGGTGCATACGCCCTCCTACCTTGGCCAGGAAGGCATATGCACCGATCCTGGGGCCGAGGATGGGCCTTGCCAGGATCGGTGCATGTGCATAGTTCCCTTTGCCCGAACGGGGCGCACTGACGTCAGACTCACCTGCCCCTCCGTCAGCGAGTGGAGCCCGCGCAAGACCCTGCGAGCCAGCAGACGCCGACGCCGGCGCTGCCCTTCCCGAGCGCCCGAGGCCCCTCAGACGGCGAGCAGCGCCGACGAGAAGCAGACCGGGCCTGCGGTCACCGGCCGGCGTGTATAGGCGGCCAGCAGCAGCGAGCCGAGGTCAACGGCTCCTCCCTCGCCAGCCGCCGTCCAGTCGGACTCCGCCGGCGCCGGTGCGCCCGGACGCGCCCAGACAGGCCGGGCAGGCTGGCACTGCCTGAATCGAAGGGCACTGTGGGCACGCGGGGCAAGGAGGTGCCGTCGGGCAGGCAGCAAAGTGTAAGTGAGTGACGCCTCCCACGCCCACTGGAGCGCCTGAACCCACATCTGCGGCCGCACGGGGCTGGCCACGGAAAAATATAGAGCCATGACATTGTACGGACCGCTCCACCCATCCATTGCACAACATGGATTGCACAACCTATGTTGCACAGCAAAGATTGCACTGAAAAGATTGCACCACTAAGATTGCTCTGCATTTTCTGCTAGAATCACACTATTTGGAGCCAACGCTGCCTAACATTCCGACTGCCTTCGGCCCAAACCGCGGGTCACCCGAAAAGCCGCTGACATTTCGTATCCCGTCAGTCTTGCCACGCAAGACGACCCTAAGATGGCTCCAAAGCGGCGAAGATACTCTCCAAGATGCTATCATGGCCCCCGTAAGGCCCAAGACTCGCCCACAATGTCTCAAAGACGGGACGAGATGCCTCCAAGCTGGCCCGAGAGGCCCCCGAGATTGCCCCAGACGGGCCAAGAGGCCTTCAAGACAGCCTCCAAGACAAACTCTAGGAAAGCCTGAAGAGGTCAACATCACTGATGCTCTGTAGGTGTTTGAAGAAGTGTGGTGTTTGCTCTGAGGGCAAGGCGGATCCAGAGGCCACTAATATGGTCTCGAGAAGCCTCCGAGATGGTCCGCTGACGGCCCAAGAGGCCCCCAAGGTGGCCGCAACACCCCAAGCAAGAGGGCCCCAGGTGATCCCAGAAAATCTCGAAAACACCTCACCAACGGCCGACAGTCAGTCCCCCAAGAGGCCTAAAGAAGCCCCCAAGAGGACTAACGGAGGCCCCATGAGTGCCCCAATAGGCTCCTCTTTTCTCTTTCTCTTTCTCTCTCTCTCTCTCTCTCTCTCTCACTATATATATATATATGTATATCGTCATCTTCCTCTGTCTCCCCCACGTGTTCTCCGAAGGGTTTCCACAAAGGCTGGGAAGCACATACTACGATAGCTTTGCCAAGCTCTGGCCGCGACGTTCGGCCACATCGACGCACTTAATGAAAGGCAAGCGGCGGCGGTGACTTGCCAGAGGTTCTTCAACAATGTCCATCGTAAGATATCAACTCGTTACTGCTTTAGAACCTCCTGAATGGCGCCTTGGGTGCCAGGGCCTCTTGGCAAAAGGTGATCTTCCTGATAAGATGTGTGAACAATCTTGATGGCTGATGGGTCCTCTTGAGACCATCCTGGGTGCTCTCTGAGACGGCCCACGAGATCGCGCCAGCTACGATTACCCGCTCAGAACAGCGCTAGAAGCATGACTGTACCGAAGATCATGGCGATAAGTACGACGCTGACGATGCCGGTTATGATCGACGATGGTAGCACCGACCGATGGTGCTGCCATGACGATGATGACTCGAATGATACTGATAATGATGGGCCATGATGGGTCATGATTGTGACATCCCATCGTTACGTACCCGTCGGCCTTCGGCGATGTTCGGCGGTCTCCTGCGCGAGATCTGGGCGGCTGGGTTTGACAAGTGGTCATGGTTCATGGCCGAGCACCTGAAGGGACTGTGGCGAGGGAGTGAGCGAGGGAGGGATTTTTCCAACACCCCCGGCGAAGAGATGAGGAGGCAGGACAGCGGCGCGCCCGCTTTACCGGGCTGCTCCGATCAGACGCGTCCCCTCAGCGCCTTGCGCTGAATCAGCAAGGCCTCACCTTCAAGGATCGACAGTGCTTGTCGGAGTCCAGAGATTTCGGCAGCGCGGCGCTCCGCACGCTCGGCGTATGTCTCTGGCTTCGCGACGCAGATGTCCTTGAGCTTCGCGAGGTACTCCAGCACTGCGTCCAGTTCCTCCTGCGTCGACGCCCGATCGGAGGTGGCGTCGACCACCGCCTTGTCGAGATCGGCGGCCTCCTTCTCCTGGTACTTGACATCCTGGTCCTTGGCTGTCTTCTCGATCTTGTTCTCCATGGTGGTCGACGAGTACTCGGACGCGGCACTGTCCTCTGTTGCGGTAGCTTCCGAGAGGCTCTTGGTGAAATCTGCAAGACAAACCTCCAAAAGCCCCAGGATGCCCGCACCAGCATCCGCGGCCGCCGCGTGGTCCTTGGCTCCACTGCCGTAGTACTCGCGCAGCGTCTTCATGGCCGTCTGCACGCCCGAGATCCCCATGGTCAGCTCTTTCTTCTGCTTCAGGAAAAGCTCGTTCTCGGCCGCCCTCATCTTATCCATATGTGCCTGCGAGGCCGCCAGCTCGGATAGCTCCTTCTGCAGAGTGGCGATGCTGTCCTTCAGAGCAGCTGACCTGGCAACCATCTGGTTGATCTTCGTGGTTAGCTTCTCAATCAAAGTGGTTTTCTCATCCTGCTTGTCCGTCGTGTCAGCCATCTCTTTATCGCAGTACTGCTTGTGCGTGGCGTCTGCGCCAGACTCGGCCTCGAGCTTCTGGATCATGTCTCCGATGAGAGACTTTACCTTCGTGAACGGGTCCTCGCCGCTCGCGGAGCTGAAGCGCACCGCCGACGACATGCGCTGAGCAAGTTGCGCCAGCGCTGGCGAGTGGAACCTGCGGCCGAGCTCGCGGACGAAGCGCGCTGCCTCGAAGTTGGCCAGGTCGGCCCCAGAGCGGACCGCGGCGCTCGAGCGGCCCAACTGCAGAAACGAGGGGGCGATCTGGCTCAGGCCGTAGGCGACCCCCGCAGCGCCGCCAGTTGTCTCGGACAGCACCTTCTTCGCATCCTGGACCGCCTTCAGTTCCTCGGCGCGGCTCGAAGCCTCCGCGGTGTAGTCGTCGGCGTGGGCTGCGCAATCCTTCTTCAGCTCCTCGAGGGCGGCCTTGTCGCCCGCCAGGTCCTTGGACCCGGCAGCCAGCGCCCCCTCGGCCTCGGACTTGGCCTCGCCGCTGGCGGCGGCAGACTTCTTGGCCTCGCTCATGTCCTTGGTGGAGAACTTGATCTCGTCCTTGAGCGATTGAGCGAGCATCTCAAAGTTTTGCCTGGCCGAGGTCTCCTTCTTGCGCGCGGCGTTCAGCTGCTCGTTCGCCTTGTCCAGAAGGTCCTCCAGCACGTCCACGATGCTGCCGCTCTTGCTCGTGTAAGTGGCGGCCTCTGGGGCGCCAGGCTCCTCGTCGCTATCCTCGGCCCCCTGGGTGTTCTGCACGAAGGATGCGAGGGTGCTGGCGTCGGCGGCGCTGAACGCGGAGGCCTTCACAAGTGCCTGCAACGCCTGGATCACAGATCCGGCGCTCTTGACCTGGACAAAGGCAGCTCCACCAGACTTGGACATCTCCCTCTGCAAGATGCCGATTGCCCTCTGCAGTGCGCTGATGGTATCAATCAGCTCCTTTTCCGCAACAGAAAAATCCCCAGCCTCTTCTCCCCGGATCTTGGTGGCCGCTGCAAGGTCCGCTTCGCTCTTAGCGATCGTCGCCGCCAGGTCTTCCACTTTACTGGTCAGGGAGCTGATAGTGGCGGCCTCCTTGCCGATCGCTGCCTTCAACTCTTCAACCTCGCTTGACCCCGTCTTTATTTCGAAGCCGAGGTTGACGGAGGTGTCCTTGCACCACCCCTCCTTCTCGCTGTTGAGCTTGGCAGACTCTTCAGCCTCTCTCTGGATCTGCGCCTCCAGGCTCGACAGAAGCTCGATGACCTTGCCTAGGGGCGACTGGCCAGAGGCTCCTGCGAGCGCCAATGCGACGATGAGCAGCCGCGCGCACTTCATTGCCTCGATAATGAGAGCGGGAAACGGAACAGAGGAACCAACTGGAGCCACACTGCCTCCGGAAAGGGCTTAATGATCACGAAGGCGCAAATCACAACCCGCTCTGTCCGCCACCGTGCCCTCTGGCACGTTCAGGCGTGGTAGAATGACACGGGCTGTCCAGTATGGTTCATGGTAGGATGACAAGAGGAATCTGGGGCATGCATCCACCCCGGTTCCCCCTGTAGCAGGAAATAGTCCGCGCCCCCGAGGCCACAACCCTTCGTGCAAAAAACAATGGGTTGGAGCACCCAACGGGGCACGAGGTGTGTGCGTGTGTGCGTTGTGCAGCAACAAGGGCGCGGGCACGCAAGCCGACCCTGCCGCTGGTGTTTCTGGTGAAGCTGCGTATTGGGTCACGAAACATGTGAGGCGTGTGCCGACATGGGAACAGGCATGCATGCGGATCCTGCCACTGGGGCCTTCGGTGGAGCTCCCTGTGGAGCCACGGAACATGTGAGGTGGGCACGCATGCGGGCGCTGCAGCCCAGGCCTTCGGTGGAGCTCCCTGCGGCCTCGACCCGTGTGCGGGGTGTGCCGACATGGGCGCGGGCACGCATGCGGGCGCTGCCGCTGGGGCCTTCGCTGGAATTCATCGTGGAGCCACGGGACTGGGCGAGGGCAGGCAAGCCGGCCCTGCCGCTGGGGCCCTCGGTGGTGGATCTGCGCATGGGGGCAGCACGAAGCGCGTGAGGGAGCGTGCCGAAGTGGGCGCGGGCACGCACGCGGACCCTGCTGCTGGGACCTTCGATGGAGCTCGCTGTGGGGCCACGGAGCCTGCGCGGCGTGTGCCGCAGTGGGCTCGCGGGGACGCGCGCGGACCCCGTCACTGGAGCCTTCGGTGGAGCTCCCGCTGAGGGCACAGAGCTGTGAGGGGTAGGCATGCATGCGGGCCCTGTCACGGGTGCCTTCGTGGGCACGCCCTGTGGGCCGTGAATGACGAAACGTGCGAAAGGTTCTGTCGAAATGGGCGTTGGCACGCATCCGGAGCCTGCCACTGGGGCCTTTGGTGGAGCTCCCCATGGAACCAGCAAGCGTGTGATGGTTGTCGAAGTGAGCGTGGGTACGCGTGCGGACCATGCCACAGGGGCCTTCGGTGAAGCTCCCTATGGGCCACGAAGCGCGTGAGGGGTGTGCCGAAAGGGGCTGCGGGAACACATGATGGCGTTCACGAGGAGAGAGAAGAGGATGGAAGGTGGACGCAGGATGATGAGGTGTGGAGTGGGGCGTTGCGAGGTCAGAGCGAGGATCAAGGGGAGGGTTGGGAAAAACAGTGGATCCACACCTCGGATCTTCTAAGACGGCCGAGGCAGACCGCCAAGATTGTCCACGGTCCCTCCAAGACGGCCCAAGATGGCTCAAGACGGCCCAAGAGGACCCCCAATCGGG